TTAGATAGTTACTTTCAATTATTACTTGCTTTTAATTAGGTTTTAATCAATTTTAAGTTAATATTAGAGTTTTTGAAATTAAGTTTGCACACAATCTCTGCTTATGCAAAATTTCTTATGGTTGTTACATAATCACGTTTAGTTTGGCTGATGTAGTAAACTTCATTAGGAATGAGAATATTCTTGTGAAGTTAAGAACTCGAGAGTTGAAAATATTTAGACTTATTTTTATTGCCTTAAACTTAACAATGTTAACGTATTTGATAATTTGATGACTGCCTTAAACTTAACAATGTTAACGTATTTGATAATTTGATGATGCTTTTTGGAATGGTTGTTAATCATATATGACTAAATTTTGTTAAGCAATTGTAATACTATATTTTTATATTTGATAACTATGATGTTACATTTGAAAAGTTTTATTATTCTAAGTATTAAAGTCATTATGAATTGTTAGTATTTATAAATTATCTAAATAACTAATAAACAATATAACCTACATTATGCGTTATATTTTTTTTAACATTTTCCCCCTTAACTCTTAACAAGAGGCCAAGCGTTACATAACATATTTTCATTATTTTCACCATATTGTTTTCTCCCATATTTCTCCGCTTCCTTCCCTTGACAAAACTAAAAGTACTTAATATTCCATAGATTTTAAATATTTAAAACATTAATGTAAGAGATTTGCTTGCACCAAAATACGAATTGTTTCAAGAAAAAGATATGTTCCTTTCTTTCTTTCTTTCTTTCTTTTTTTTTTTGGAGCCCATTGAAGCAAATCCATTGAAGAATATCAAAACTGCACTCCATCATCCACCAAATTCATTGAAGCACATCCACTAGAAGGATGTGATGCCAAGATGGATAGAGGGTGGAATAAGAAAAAGTTGGATCAAATAGCAAACTGTTGAACAATCATAGATGATCATCAAATTCGTGGCCAAATCCCTGGCCAAATGCAAGGAAAATAAAGGATGATCAATAATGTGGATGTTAGCAAAATGAATCTTAACCATGAACAATCAAATCGGTGGGTAAATCGGCGGTCAAGTCACACGAGAAGACTAAAATTTCAAGGAAGAAGATGGAAGTTAACTCAAATGTTAATAACTATCCTTAAAAGTCATAATAATTACAAGATTAGGTGCGGAACTCGAGTTTGAACGGCAACCGATTCTCTCCGAAGACAGGTCGGAAATTTATGATTTTGTTTACGGTAGTTGTCATCGGTACTCGAAAAAATATCTACTGGAATAGCAAAGCTGTGATCAGCATATAAAATGTGCTCCCGTATAGATGTGGAAGTCTATCTTGAAGTTGTAACGTTGAAATTGATCTTCCGCAAAGGATTAACAATCAAAATCAAAGGAAGTGTACATACACGCAAGGAAAGCAATTGTGCGCTGGACTATGTGAAACTATTGCTTCAACGAATCAGTCCACTCTCCGGATTGCGTTTTCATTAAGGTCATTATCAAACTGAAATTAACTGAGCAACTAAAAATAACTCGTGATTATGGATTCGGATCCTCTTGAATTATGTGGTAATTGGAGTCTCCAACTCCCCCAATCATTTTCCATACATTTTGTTGGAACTTTTTAAAAGAAACAAGCAGAACACAGCAATTGATTACTTACAACTTAATTAATTCATCAACAGATACAGACACAGTACTTAAGATGGTGCATATTCCTAATTTTGCACCCACTAACTCCAATACACTGCTGCTCTAATTAACCTATAACTAAACCCACTACATGACTTAAACTAACTATAGAAACTACCCACTACTCTCTGCACACCTCTAAACAGAGAACCTGCTTAAATTTAACAACCAGTTTATAATTAATTCTTAACAACAAAATAAACCTGCAACTAAACCGCAACTTCTAGAAACTGTATCTCTTATGCACTTTGCTGCTGACTTGGATTATTTTCAACCCCCATGTCTCGACACCCGTCGAACTTCTCTCGTGTGAGTGATTTGGTCAGCACATCTGCAACTTGCTGGTTCGTGTTCACATACTGCAACTCTATCATCTTTTGCTCAATCAGGTCTCGTATGAAATGGAGCCGAGTGTCTATGTGCTTTGTTTTGTTGTGATGCACCGGGTTGTTACCAATTGCAATTGTCGACTGATTATCACAATAGAGTATTGTTGCACCTTTCTGCTCACAATCTAACTCTTCCAATAAGCGCCTTAACCATACACCTTGGCATGCTGCTGATGTTACTGCATTGTACTCAGCTTCTGCGGTTGATAGTGCAACTGTTGACTGTTTCTTCGAACTCTAACTTATTACGTTGTTGCCAAAGAAGAACACCTGACCTGTTGTGCTTTTTCGATCATCTATGCTGCATGCCCAGTCACTATCGCTATAGCGTGTCAAACATGGTTCATCAACACCCTTGTACCATAGACCATAGCTTGTTGTACCTGCAATGTACCTAAGAATTTGCTTTGCTGCTCCCATGTGTTGTTTAGTTGGACTCTGCATGTATCTCGCAACCATTCCAACTGCATGTGTGATGTCTGGTCTTGTGTGCGTCAAGTACAATAGACCTCCCACCAAACTCCTAAACCGAGTTACATCTGCAGCTCTGGTTCCATCAATTGCTGTCAACTTCTCGTTTGTATTCATTGAAATTAGTACGTGATTGAAATCTTTTAATCCGAACTTTTCTACCAAGTCTCTTGCATACTTGCGTTGAGACACAAAGATTCTCCCCTTCTCTTGTTCAACCTCCAGACCTAGAAAGTAATGCATTTCTCCTAGATCGGTCATCTCAAACACACGCATTATTTGCTCTTTAAACTCCTTCACCATTGCGTCATCTGTGCCAAAATAAATCATATCATCATCATAAAGACATAACGCTGTTAAACCTCCTTTTTCTTTGTGTTTGACATAAAGATTAGGCTCATACTTGCTTCTCTCAAATCCTAATTTCTGAAAATGTGCATCAATCTTGTTGTACCATGCACGAGGGGCCTGCTTCAAACCTTATAATGCTTTGAACAAACGATACACCCAATGTTCTTTGCCCTTCATCTCAAACCCTTCTGGTTGCTCAACATAAACCTCTTCTTTTAGTTCACCATTGAGGAATGCTGACTTCACATCAAATTGATAGATAGGTTGTCTCAACTGGGCTGCCATTGCCATCAATAACCGAACTGTTTCAAATCTGGCCACCGAGGAGAACGTCTCTTCATAGTCTATGTCTTGCTTTTGTGCATATCCTTTTGCCACTAATCTTGCTTTGTATTTTAATACACTGCCATCTAGACCAAATTTAGTCTTGTAAATCCATTTAACTCCAATTGCATTGCGATTTTTTGGTAATTCCACCAACTTCTAGGTTTGGTTTTGCTCAATTGAGCTCATTTCTTCTTTCATTGCTTGCACCCATTCCTTTCTTTCTACGGCTTCTTCATAGGACAATGGATCTGCTACACACAAAACTTGAGTTACTTTATACAATTCTTGTAAGGATCGTACCTTTCTTCCTTGTGTATCCGGATCAACCATCCGATTTGAAGTGCTACTCGAGCTTGGGCTGCTTTGTGGCTGCTCACTGCTGTCTTCTTCTTCTTATCTTCTATTTCAGCTATTGATGTGTTGTTTTCCGTCATAGACCAACTCCAACTAGCATTCTCATCGAACATGATATTTCTACCGACTATAATCTTCTTTGTCACCGGATTAAACAACCTATAACCTTTAGATTGTATGCAATACCCAATGAACACACACTTTTCAGATTTTGAGTCCAGTTTTTTCGGTTTTGTGTACTTATGAGAGTGTAAGCAATGCACCCAAAAATATGCAAATGCCCCACACTTGGCTTCCTTTCAAACCACGCTTCAAATGGTGTTTTGTTCATCACTGCCTTGGTTGGTGACAGGTTTAGAACATATACCACTATTGCTACTGCTTCAGCCCAAAAACTATTCGGCATACCTTTAGATTTCAGCATACTTCTTGCTAGTTCTACTACCGTGCGGTTCTTACGTTTAGCTACACCGTTTTGCTCAGGTGTGTATGGAGTGGTCAGCTGCTGTAACACCCCTTCTTTCTCACAAAACTGCTTGAATTCTTTTGATTGAAACTCACCACCATGATCTGATCTTAGAGCTTTCAGCCTAGCCCCTGTTTGTGTCTCTGCCATGGCTTTGAATCTTTTGAACAACCCAAATGCTTCACTTTTATAACTAAGAAAATATAACCAGGTCATCCTGCTGTAATCATCGATAAATAACATGAAATACTTACTTCCTCCCATGGATTCAACCTCCATAGGCCCGCACAAGTCAGTATGCACCAACTCGAGTACCTTGGTTGCACGCATCAACTAATCTTTTGGAAATGGCAGCTTCGATTGCTTGGCAAACACACATCCTTCACATAAACCGATTTCACCAATTTCGGGTAACCCGTTCACCATTTTCTTTTGATCCAACACTTTCAAACCATTCATGTTTAGATGACAATACCTTAAATGCCATAGCTCACTGGTACTAATCTCCTTGACTGCAAGTGCCTTGTCTTTCACTTTGGCTATCTCCAGAGGGAACAAGTTGTTTTGTGTCTTCTTGATTGTTGCCATCGTCTGATCCGTGGATGCAACTATAATTCTGTAGCTGTCGCCTTCAAACTTGATGGTACACCCGCTGTCCATCATCTGACCGATGCTGAGTAGGTTCTGGGATAGTTGAGGAATATAGTACACATCATGTAGCATCTGTGTATTATGACTGCTGGTCTGCACGGCTACTCTTCCTTTTCCTTCAACATGAATCTCTTTATCGTCACCAAGCTTTACTGCCTTCTTGTATGACTCATCTAATTTATCAAACAGATGTTTGAAACCCATCATAAGGTTTGAGCACCCACTGTCCAAAAACCAGATTTGATTCACATCTGATTCTTCATCGGTTTTGGCCATGAACAACCGTGCCTGATTGCTCTAAAAACCAGATTTGATTCACATCTGATTCTTCATCGGTTTTGGCCATGAACAACCGTGCCTGATTGCTCTTCTCTTCAACAAAACTACATCTGATTCTTCATCGGTTTTGGCCATGAACAACCGTGCCTGATTGCTCTTCTCTTCAACAAAACTTCCATGTCCTTCTTCTCTTTTCTTCTTGTAGCAGTCAGCCTCCACATGACCGGACTTGTGGTAGTAATAGCACTCCACGTCTTGACCTTCTTCTCTCTGTTTCTTGTAGCAATTGGCTTGCATATGCCCTTTCTTGTGACAGTAGTAGCATTCTACATCTTTCTTCGGTTGATTAGAATGCGGTTGATTATAACTTGGCTTGCCTCTGCCACTGCCGCCTTGACTGCTTCGACCTCTGCTGTTACCTTGTCCTCTACCTCTGCCTTGTTGTTGGTTTCTTGAGGAATCACCCTTGGTATAGAAAGCTTTGGTGTCGTCCTTCACTTCTGATCGGCTGAAACGAACTTCATGGACCTGCAGTGATCCCATCAATTCATCAAACGTGTAGGTGGACAGATCTTTTGATTCTTTGATCGTCGCCACCACATGATCAAACTTGGTTGTCAGGCTGCGCAACACCTTCATCACAACCGTTTTTTCTGGAAGATCTTCTCCACAGCTTCGAATTTGGTTGACTATTGTTGTAACTTGCGTGAAGAAGGATTGAACTGACTCGCCTTGTTTCATGTTCAATGTCTCAAACTCTCGTCTCAAGCCCTGCAACTTGATAGCTACCACCTTGGAACTTCCCTGAAATGCGGTTTTTAGAGTAGACCAGGCCTCGTTTGCTGTTTCTGCTGCTACAATCTTCGCAAACACCAATTCGTGTACGTATTGCTGAATGAAGAAGAGCGCCTTTGCATCTCGCTTGGCTGTGTCAATTGGTATCGGATCAGGATCCGGTATTCCCTTGTCTACTAGTTCCTAGAAGCCATGAGATTTCAGCATAGTTCACATCTTGATGCTCCAGAATTCGTAACTCTCACCCTTGAACAAAGGTACCGTCTGTTTAGACATGTTGATGGTTGCGTTGTTACATGCTTCGGTCATTGGATCAACCTTACGCTCTGATACCAATTTTGTTGGAACTTTTTAAAAGAAACAAGCAGAGTCATTGGATCAACCTTACGCTCTGATACCAATTTTGTTGGAACTTTTTAAAAGAAACAAGCAGAACACAGCAATTGATTGTACTCACAACTTAATTAAGAAACAAGCAGAACACAGCAATTGATTGTACTCACAACTTAATTAATTCATCAACAGATACAGACACAGTACTTAAGATGGTGCATATTCCTAAATTTACACCCACTAACTCCAATACACTGCTGCTCTAATTAGCCTATAACTAAACCCACTACATGACTTAAACTAAATATAGAAACTACCCACTACTCCCTGCACACCTCTAAACAGAGAACGTGCTGCCTAAATTTAACAACCAGTTTATAATTAATTCTTAACAACAAAATAAACCTGCAACTAAACCGCAACTTCTAGAAACTATATCTCTTATGCACTCTGCTGCTGACTTGGATTATTTTCAACACATTTCACATCCATAGGATGAGATTAGGTCATGGGATAAAAACACTATAGTCTTGAAAATCACTATTGTGGTAGTGGATCCTACACTTTTTCATTGAATTCGAAATGTACGGCGATGATTGAGGAATTTGAGACTTTCCAATTATTACCACCTAATTAGAAAGAGGTTACACTACTTTATTTTTACTCATCATGGTCAACTCATTATACTCTGTTGTAATATGATCTTTTATGACTAGCATATACTAATCCGAGTATCACTATCAGCACTAGAATAAGAATGTACATCAATTCAGTAAATATTAACATATTACGTAGCAAGATATTTAAGTTTCAAAGTGAACGAAAATCACGCCACCCTTCATTTTTATTATTATTGGCATCTTTCCCCTATATTTTCGTGACCCCGATCATCCAACTTTGCACGAAAATTGTTCATAACTCCAACCTCCAAACGTTGACCTCCCTCAAAACAGCTAATCATTCCTTGGTTTCAATTTCTAAAACCAACTTGTGATGATCAACGACAAGAAAATGTTTGCCAAGAATCACATCTACATTTAAAAGGAAAAAGATAGGGGGAAAAATAAAGAAAGAAAATCACATGCGGAAAGCAAGGAAAATTAAGTACCTCGTCGACTCATCCTCAGCTAGAGCCAGAGCCAGAGCCAGATGGACATTGACCTCCCCAGTGTAGGCCTATATAAGTAAACATAATATTTCACCTCATTTACATAGAAATAAAGTATTCGCTATATATATCTTGGCAAGTCTCCTTAAAATCTTCAGGAAACTAAATCATTCAGATCATGATTCTTCTTTTCCTTCCATTCATAATCCCACTGTTAACCATCCTCTTCTTCTTTCACCCTTCAGTTGGCCAAATTTTCAAGTTTCAATCCAATGGCTCGAAACTCCCACCAGGATCCTTTGGATGGTACCCGTTGATCGGTGATACCCTCTCCTTCTACGCACCACTGTTGGGAATATAATCTGTTTAGAGTATAATTAGCACAAAATGCAGTTTTAACAGAATTAGATAATGATTGAAAATAGATATAAAATTAAACTGAGTTTAGAATATAGCCTGATGGTCGAGGCGTGCAAGCACTGTTCCAAGAAACTAATTTTGCTGTTTAGAATAGTATCATGATTAGCATTCTGCTTTTTATGTTAATGATGTCTGCAATACTTAAAACAAAATGTTACACTGCATGATAATTCTGTTGAATGAATGCTTTATATATTTCTGTCGCATTATAATAACAAAACTATTCATTCATCATCAGATTATGGCTACAAGTGAAATTATGTCTGCTAAACCAGAGAAGTTTGATGGGAACAATTTTCGTCGTTGGCAAAACCAAATGAGATTTTGGTTAACAACTCTACACCTAATAACAGCCATAGAACCAGATAATCCTTAAAAGATTTAAAGCTTCTGATTTTAACAAATTTAAAATGGTAGATTCTAAACCAATGAATGAGCAAATTCATGAATTCGAACATATAGTTCACCAATTAAAAGTGAATGGATCTATCCTAGATGAAACATTTCAGATAGCCTGTCTTATAGACAAACTTCCCGAGTCCTGGTCAGATTTTGCCAAAAACCTTAACCATACCCAAGGAGATTGTAAAATCCATCTGTACTAGAAGGTTATTCAGATGCAAATTGGATTAGTGACTCAGTAGATGTAAAATCCACCACAGGATTTGTGTTCCTTTTAGGAGGAGGAGCTGTGTCCTGGAAATCTACTAAACAAACTGTAATGGCTAGAAGTACAATGGAATCAGAAATGATAGCTCTTGATACTACTAGTATAGAAGCTGAATGGTTGAAAGATTTACTAACTGAAATTCCACTAATGCAAAAACCATTACCAGCTATTTCTATTCATTGTGATTGCAGGTCAGCGATTGACAAATGCCATCAAGAGAATGCAAATGTGAAGATGAATCGACACTTGAAAGTGCGACATAAATCCTTGAGATATAAGATGAAAAACCATATAATAGCCTTAGATTTTGTAAGATCAGAGAAAAATCTTGCAGATCACTTAACTAAAGGCTTATCTAGGGCAGTGGTCCTAGAATCATCGAGGGGGATGGGGTTAAGCCCATAAGAAAAATCACTGCAGTGGCAACCCAACCTCGCAGAGGTTCAATGGGTAGAAACAAACTGAATGAGTGATTAATTGTGAGGAGCACTGAATTCATTTGCTCCCATCCCTAGGGTGATCAGTGCTCATAAAAAGCAAGTGAAAGGTTGAGTCTAACTCTTAATGAATCCAAGACCCATGAGGCAGGATGCTTACTTGCTCGCATCCTTATTAGGATTCACCTATATGTGTGTAGTTGTGAGGCCGCGACTATGGGATCAGGGCTGCTCCCTAGTAACACACATGAAAGATACCTGCGCAAGGCCGATAATAGCGCAACCCGTTTAGAATTCTTCAAAACTGTACTATGTGTGCTTTCTGTAGAAATCCGATAAATGAGACTGGTTCAAGGCGAAGTCCACCAAGCTCTCACGGATCTATACAACTGTCACTAAGTGAAGGTTCAAACCGAAAGGTACCTCCACCTATTACATAGTATAAGGGAACCAGCAATCGTATTTATTTTTAAGTTCTTCTTTTATTGTTATTTCTGAACTATTTTAAGTTTTAAGTTATGTGGGGGATTGTTGGAATTATATAATAAAAGATAACTTAAAACTTGACTTTGTAGAGGAAAAGAGGGAAAGTTTAGTCCCACATAGGAAATGGGATAGAAAAAAGGGGTCCTTATAAGCCTTCCCTTTCTCTCCTATGCCTAGAAGAAAACAAAGGTTATGCTCCACACCACACACGCGCGCGCCGGCCGGGCCGGGCTCGGGCTCGGGTTCGGGTCGGGTCGGGTGGCGCGCGCACACGACCTGCGGACACGAATGCAGCTCCGGCTTAATGGGCCCTTAATATGCTAACATTTTTATTTTTACTAATTGGAACTGTTTAAAACGTGATTAATATTTTTAAAATGTTTAACGGCCAGAATTAATTGGAGAGATTTATGAACTTTAAAACTGAATTAAAACGTAAATGAAACGGTAATATTCATGAGAATTAAAACAGAATCAAAACGGAAAAAGGTTTTTATGAGGATTTAATTCGATATTGAAAAACGTTCATTCTCAACCTCTATATAAACAGCAAGCTGCGAGGGTAGAAAACACAGTGTGAAAAACACAAAATTCTCCTCTTCCTTCTCAGCTCTGTTCTTCTTCTTACACTTGCTTGCTATTACAACTTGCTGGTTCCCTGAAAGTCTAGAAGAGTTCGCAAAGCCTTCTTGAAGCTCGTGCCGACGAGAAAGAGGTCGCCTGACCGAGGGTCGTTGTATCTCCGGGGACTTTTGCCGCGTAGCCCTGTACGAGAGGGGGCAATTAGTTTCTTGGGACAGTGCTTGCACGCCTCGACCATCAGGCCGTATTTCTAAACTTTATTTACTTTTCATTTGATATATTTCTTATATCTGTGTTATAATAGTGATTATCTGTTAATTATTAAATTGCTTAATCTGATTTTCATTATTGTCTAAACAGCCAATATTCCCAACAACCACATCGTTATTCATCTCTAGGCCCATTTCTAAACAAAAACATCCAAAGGTTGATATATCGCTAAAATTTACTAGAAAAGAAAAAAAGTATTTAATTTGATGATTTGATGATAATTGTTTGCGTTGTAGGTACGGGAAGATCTTTAAATCTCATCTTTTCGGCCGTCCTACCGTGGTTTCTTGTGACCCAGAATTCAATTACTTTGTATTACAAAACGAGGACAGGTTGTTCCATTCTGCATATCCGCCAAATATTCCAGGAGTTTTAGGGGACCTAACACTACTAGCTGTGACCGGAGACGTGCACAAGCGTCTACGAGGTTTTGCTGTCAATTTACTTTCTTCAGTAAAGACTCCAAGTAGTTTATTTCTCTCAGACATCGAAGATAATGTTCTTAAGGTTATGGATTCTTGGAAGCACAAGAAAGTCTTGCAATTTCTTGCTGAAGCTAGAAAGGTTTGTTTCTAGTTTGTTTTAAGTTTTTAACCTAATACAGTGCAAGAGATTTAACTAATTTTTTTTTTTTGTGGTGACTTTAACTGCGCTTGCAGTACACTTTCGGCGCGGTCCTGAAACAAACCTTGAGCTTGGAATTTGAAGATCCTGATGCAGTCCAGATCTTCAAGAACCTCATTTTTGTTTATGAAAGGAATAGTTTCAGTGCCCATCAACCTCCCAGGAACACCCTATGCCAAAGCAATCCAAGTAACTTTACTACATAGGAACCGAGCCGTTTGGCTTCGATAATTGTATTTTAGTATTCTGAAATCCAAGGAGTTCTTAACTTTCCAAAACTTTAAATTTTTTTAATTCGTATTAAAGAATGTGGAACTTTTTCGGATTTGTAAAAATAGTATTTCCTTCAAAGAAACTGACTTAATTTGAAAGGGAATGATTACATATATGGTATTTGCTAATAGTACTATTCTGAAAAAAAAAATAAAGAACCTATCGAATGTTTAAAATGTAAAAATTTGAGAATTTACTATTTTAACTTTCTTTTAGGGACTTTTAGATCTTTTCAAATCTTTTCCTTTAAGTTTTAAGCTTTTCAAAGTTTCATAAATAAGTTGGCCCTGCGTTTTTACTCTCTCTCCCAAATTTATCAATTTTGGTTTAGATTAGATTTCTAACAAGGGTTTTTCTAAAGAGTGCCCAAGGGCACTCTATAAGACAGGAGAGAGATAAAGAGAAGTGAATAGTAAAGGGGCCCACTGTTTGCATTTATTTTCGTTTCCACTATTCACCTCTCTCTATCTCTCTCCTATAGAGTGCCCAAGGGCACTCTATAGAAAAACCCTTCTAACAATGGACTTTGTTGTAAATCGACCCTGGCAGTATTTTAATTATGTGTTGGTTTTTTGACAATTTAATTTCTCACCCCGATCCTACGTGAATATGTCATAAAAGTTAAAACTTTTTTGAGATATTATCTTCCCTTACAAAGCCAGTACATCTACTCTTCTATACTTATAGGAGGATCCAAAGAATCACTATTTATGCTACAGTAGATTGACCCTTTCCGTAGCAGTAAATTACTGTACCGTGAACGATAACTCAAATCTGGCACTATATTTTTGAAGTTACTGCTTATGCTACAGTATTTTACTGTATCATAAATAGTAAATCAAATCAAATGTATTAAAACTTAGATCCTCCTCTAAGCATCAAGGAGTAGATATGATTTCTAAATCAAATGTATTTAAACTTGAATCCTCCTTTAAGTATAGAGGAGTAGTTATGATTTCTAATTTTAAATATACAATAATCAAATTAAATGTATTAAAACTTAGAGGGAGGTAAGTTCAAAATGCAATACATAAAAAATAGGGGGTTGTGCTTTGCACGGGGTGCACACTAGTACTTATGAATGAAGCAATATAGGAATTTGCAAAAGTTATAATGAAGACTCGTTATGAGCAGGCCAGGCATTGGATAAAGAAGAAGGTGATACAAATCCGAAGGCAGCGTGATATTGGAGATAAGAACAATGAAACCGTTGATTTTCTGGACGTGTTATCAAGGCAAGAAAGCATTTCTGACGAAGAGATAGCGAGTCTGGTTATTGATCTGTTGCTTGCAGGGTATGAGACGCCGTCTTTGTTGATCGCGACCATTGTGAAATTCCTCGGTGAAAACTCTAACTCTAAGATATTGACTGAAATAAGGGTAATCTTCCTCCTATACATGTGTAACTTACCCCTACCAACATTATTATCATTTGTGAGCTAGATTAATAAATCAACCAAGATATTTGTGTGGTTATACATAGGACGAACATCGTTCAGTGATGCAAACTAAAAATGTTAACGGACGATTGGGATTGGACGATTACAAGAAGATGCGGTTCACTCAGTGTGTCATCAATGAAGCTTTAAGGTTAGGAAATCTAGTGAAGGCTGTTTATCGGAAAGCGATTAAACCAGTTCAATACAAAGGTAATTTCAAGACGGACGTTTCTCAACTTCACTATGCTTTTATGTAAGCTAACTGCAGAAACTTCCCGTGTACTATGTATGTGATGTACTCTAGACGGTTTTGAATTCCATCAATAATCCGTCTAGGATGTATTCTAGACGGAATTTCCGTCTAGAATACTACATTCTAGACGGAAACTTCCTAGACGTGTATTCTAGACAGAATTCCGTCTAGGATACTTACCCTAGACGGAATTCTGATTTTCCTAGACGGAATTTGATGCCTCATTATTTAGTAGTGTGTAGTGTTAGGCGGTTACTTTTAAACTGTTTTTTGAGCATTTTATATAGATGAAGTTGACTAGTACTTGTCCTGGGATTGTCATGCGATTTTAATGTGTTGTAGGGAGTTCAAAGAGTATTTCTCCTTTATTACTCTCTCGTAATATATTCTTCT